TCTCCAAATTGGCTTGGTCTACAATCTTAAATGTAAGGTGCTTCACTACCTATGCATTAGATTAGAAGCACCGTATAAGCAGTATTTTAGGAGGATGCAGACAGGAAAATTTCAGAAGAGTGGTTTTGTTTGGACAGAGGATCAGTTGGATGCCAAACAGTATTGCCTTTGCAGATCAGAAGGCTGGGAATGCTAGTTTCATCCACAAAAGTGGTTTAATGTCTACAGTGAGCAAATAAGTGTCAGACCTCTTGTTCCTTGCCAAATTTTGCTAATTCACGCAATTTTAAGTCACATGTCTTGAAATATTTGGTATCTTTTGTATAGCTCCAGCTCCTGAAGTTATGTAAATACAGGAGAACCTCAGCCTTCATGTGAGAGCAAACAAAGTGTCTTGCTCTCTTGGTAGCAAAGCAAGAGCCTCAAAAATGTGGCATAAGTGTATCCCAAAGGTTCAGAAACCAGAAGATTTAAAAAAAAAAAAGTAACAAGCCGACTTTAAAAAAAAACTTTTAATTCAACCAACTTTAAGAATTTTGAATGCTTGGGGATGGTAGTACCACTTCCTCCTGCCCCCTGTAACACTGGGAAAGTCACTTACACTAAAGCTTTCAGAAGTGTACACTAATTTTGGGTGCCTCTGTTTAGGTGCCAAACTTGAGACAACTAAAGCTTGTTTTTCCACAGATGCTGAGCATCCTGTGACCCCCACTGAAATCAGGCCTTAGGTATCCCAAATTGAAGACCAAAGATTGAGGCACATAAAGTTAGTGAAAGTTTTGGTCTTAGTCACTATGCTTGTTTATTCATTTATAAATCAGGGACAGACACCTACTGCACTATGAAGTTTAGGGCAGGGCCACCCAGAGGGGGGGCAAGTGGGGCAATTTGCCCCAGGCCCCAGGCTCCGCATGGGCCCCGCGAGCCCTGACTGAGAATCCCTTTCCTGGCTAGAGGCGCCTTTTTAATTTTTACTCATCCGGCAGCGCTCCGGGTCTTCGGTGGCACTTCGGTGGTGAGGGGTCCTTCACCTCGCTCCAGGACTTGAGCGGCACTTCGGCGGCGGGGGGGATCCTTCAGTGCCGCAGAAGACCCGGAGCCACTGAGGGACCCGCCGCCAAAGACTTGGAGCGCCGCCCGATGAGTACAAGTGCCGCAGCAGATGATGCCTTTTTTTATGTCCACTCCCCCCGCTTTGCCCCAGGCCCCCTGAATCCTCTGGGTGGCCCTGGTTTAGGGTCTGAACCTGCAACCAGAGTAAACAAAACTCCCACTGAAGTCAGTGGAAGTACAGTCCAAGACTGCAAATTTAAGGCTTAGTTTGTTAGTACTTGTAAAGTGCTATGAGGTACTGGAAGGGCTATAGAAATACAAGGTGGTTGTTGTTTTTGTTTTTAAATAGATACTATTCATTTCACCTGGGAAAAAAGTAGAATATAAATTCTCAATGGATTAATTTTAGATTGTGCAATTGTATCAGTATTTGACAGACTTGATGAACCAATGTAGCTGTATTTCTAGTATAGGCAACAGATAGTCTATGAAGTAGCAATGGGTTCCAAACAATGAGTAAATAGTGAGCAAAATCCCAAATCAAAAGACTTAAAGAAGTTGGTATTAGATTTAATATATGCCAGATTAAACAGAAAGCACATGCACCTAAAAACAAAACAAAAACAAAAAACCACTCAAAGTTGTCATTAATATATACAACTTTTGTTTTAAAATATTTATGATTTTACATAAGAACACGAAAGTTGCCATGCTGGATCAAAACAGAGTCATCTAGTTCTGTAACCTTCTCTCTAACAATAACCTGGTAACAGATGCTTCAGAGGAAAGATACAAGAAAGCTGGCTATCAGCAGTCATAGGATAACCTGCTCCCAAAGAAAGTTTCTTCTTAACTCCCCACCCAATCAGTTTGGCTGGGTGTTTGCCCTGACGCATGATGGTTCCTATAACTTAATATATGCAGTGTTGATAACTCTCAAAACTGTATTGCTATCCTTGTGATATTTAGGCCTGGTCAACAGAGAGATTTTGTACAATTATAGCTACTTCTGTTAAAGAAAATACAACCACCTCTAACTGAAATAGGTATACTTGTATGGTACTATTCCCCTTCCTCTACTCATCAATAAGCTATAGTGGTATAAGCATTTTATACTACTATCATTGCATCCACACTAGGGTGAGCTGTACTGCATTAACTATACCAACACAGGTAAGGCAGTATAACAACATTTGTTATTAGACAGAGCCTTGGTGTTTTACACAAAGCAACAACTCCTGGAATCAAGTTTCTAGTCTTGATGGTTGTGGAGAAAAGCCTAAAGACATGAAGCCTAAAGGCTCAAAATTCAAAATGTATTTAATTATCACGATATGGGGTGGACCTAACTCATGATTTTGGGGCATTTGGGGTTGTCAATACTGCAACAGTAAGGTTTTTTTGTTTTAAGTTTCTAATTTTGGATGTTCCTGATTTATTTGAATAAATCTCTCGAATTATGAGATGAGGCTATTTTAACAGTGCTTTTCAGATAAAAGCTCCAGCCAAATAGTTTGGATGAGGTCCATAGCTTTTATTATTGTACTGTTATAGTCTAATAAAAATTCTGGATAATACATTAGCTGCAATTAGCTTCAGATGCTTACAAAAATAGTTTATGAAAAGCTTTTCTCCAGAAGAATCACAATTAAAATGGAGTGGTGATGATAAATCATGATTTATCAATTCCCTATCCTCCAAAAACAATTAGGTATCCTAAAGCTATATTTCACTGCCAGCGGCTTTTATTTAGTATTACTGACTGCTGCTTGTAGCCAACAGAACATTCACATATTCTCCTGGCTTCTGCTGTGTCTTAGACTTGGGCAACTTTTTAAAATGAGATCTTAAAGGGAGCACTGAAAAAGCAGGATCTTTCAAATGTAAGAGCAATATACTTTACCAATATAGTCCCTAAATCAGGGGTTCTCAAACTGGGAGTCGGGATCCCTCAGGGAGTCACGAGGTTATTACATGGGGGGGGGGGTCAGCTTCCACCCCAAACCTTGCTTTGCATCCAGCATTTACAACGGTGTTAAATATATTAAAAAAGTGTTTTTAATTTATAAGGGGGGTTGCTATTTGAAAGGGGTCACCAGTACAAAAGTTTGAGAACCACTGCCCTAAATGCTGCACTGTGATACATGCCCAGAGCCTGACTAAAGTTAGTGGTTATCTACCCATGTCACATTACACGGCAGGATTGGAGACACAGGCAGAGTACTGGACAACTTGGATGCCATATGGATTTAAGTTATTACAGCAAAAAAGTTGATATTTCAGGTCACTAATAATCTGGTACAAATGCTATATGTAGTAGTATTATGAAATGTCTATATACCCTTCTCTTTCCCTTTCCTTCATTTTAGGTATATTTTAGACGAGGGGGCGGGGGGGAAGACTTTCCTTCCCTTTGACCTGCAAAAATCCAATGGCTAAACTCAATTAGAAAGATAATTTCAACTAGAAAACTTTACTGTTAGTAACAAGGACCCTGCCATACCTATTTAAGAAGGGGAAGAGTATAGGGGCTCTCTTATGCAGCTATGCGACCTCACCCTCAAACATATCATTTCCTAATTTCCTCACATAGTGGGGTGGAGGGGGAGGAGAAGGGATCTTTCTTAAAGTTATTTTAAGGCTGGGCACATATGTCAATTTCTCCCTCAGAATTAGTTTTAAAAATATAGAGTTTAAAGCCAGAAGGAACCATTGACCAGAGTTTCTCAAATTTCATTGCACCACGACCCTCTTCTGACAACAAAAATTACTACATGATCCCAGGAAGGGGTACCAAAGCCCAAGCCCCACTGCCGCAGGCAGGGGGCCAAAGCTCAGGCACTGCTGCCTTGAGGGACACCAAAGCATGAGGGCTTCAGCCCTGGGCGGTGGGGCTCAGACTTTGGTTTCAGCCGAAAGCCCCAGCAAGTCTAACGCCAACCCTGGCAACCCATTAAAATGGGGTTGCTACCCATTTTGGAATCCTAACCCGCAGTTTGAGAACTGCTGCATTAGACCATGTAATCTGAACTCCTGTATCTCTCAGATTTAGTTTCATCCCATCAACCCTCTGTTGAGCCCAATAAGGGTTTGTCTACACATGGAAATTTAGTTATTCCAGAATAATATGCCTTTTCTGATTTAGCTTAATCCATTAGTTAAGATATACAAGGCCAACACTTAGAAAAGAGCAGATTTGATTTAGAAGTAATCAAGATAAAAATATGGAATCCCCAATGTCATTTGTAGTCAGGTTCAGACTAGAACTGCATTCAAAGGAGGTTTGTTACAGTCTCCTCACCATCCCCAAAACTAGTTCCAGAAACAGAAGAGTGAGATGTTATGATTGTCCCTCCTGGATTAGTTTTAGTGTTGGGTGTTTTTATGCTCTCCTCCCCCACCCCTCCACTCATAGGGAATAAACTAAATCTGTAAGAAGCAAAAGGTTAATTCCTGAGCTGGGGGAAGAATAACTTTAAGGCTTGGGGGAGGGAGGTGCATTTTACCAGTTCTGTATTCCCACCCCCCACGGAATTAGTGCTAAATTGTGCAAGCACATGTCAGTCTTCATATCTACCCTAACATGGGGTAAATGCCAAGGCTTGGGGAGAGGGAAGACCAGGGTCTCTCCCCCCCCCCTCCATGGGCGAGGTGGGTAGTGCCAAGCCTGGGGGGGGGGGGGAAGAGGAGAATCAGGGTCTCTCCCCTCCCGCATGGGGGGTTAGTGCTAAGGCTGGGGGGGGGGGGAGGATCAATACCTCTCCCCCCATAGGAGGGTAATGTCTCTTCCCGTCGCCCTAAGTGGGGAGAGAAGGGGGATACCAGGAGGGCGGGGCCGCCCGTAGCCCCGGTGGTGCCTAGCGAGGCCTAGCCCCAGCTCCTGCCCCCACCCACCAGATCACGCCGCCAGCTGCTCCCATTGCCAAGGCAGGGAGGGGACTCGGTACCTTCTCGGTGCTGCCTGCTCCATGCTGCTGCTGCTGTTGGGTGGCAGCGCGCTGAGCCGTCAGCCGCGACGCGAGTGTCGCCTGACAGGACCCCGCCGGCCCCCCTAACTCCACACAACTTTCCGGCAACTCTGGGACTAGCCCTTTAAATGCGATTCGCCCCCTCCCCACTGGGGTCGGATGCCGGACTCTCACACAAACGCCACCAACTCCTACCCTGCTAGCTGCCCCAGACCTGCCCCTTTCATTGGTTACTAGCGGCACAAAGACAAACACTGATTGGATGCTAATCAAGTCACTCAGCACCTTAGAAAGCGGAAGAAAAAGTCCCTCAGCCCACACTGAAGCGGCTTAGGGAGGGCTGTTCGTGTCCTGGGAAGAGCGAGCGGACCTGCGTAGGGAGGAGGCGGGGCGGCCGGCGTACAACTGTTCGTTCCCAGCACGCGCCGCTCGACAGCTGGTAACCGGGAGGAGCGGCGCATGCTGGGAGCTATAGTCTCCAGCGGCAACAGCCAACTGCTGCCTGTTCTGCCCGTGAGGACGGTGGTCTGAGGGACCCACCCGCGTGATTGCCGAGGGCCGGGCACGGACATCCCTGTGTCGGGGCCCCTCGGTCACCCCCTTACACTTCCCTGGCTGGAGAAGCGACACTGCCGGACAAGTGCTTGGCAGAGCTTAATTGTGGTAGATCGAGATAAAGCTGCGTTGTCCCTGAGATGCCCCGGGCTCGCTGTCCTTCAGAGCGAGCTTTACAGCCCCAACGAGGGAGAGTCAAGGCTGAAGAGGGAGACGTTCCAGGTGGTGTGTTAGGTCATTGCCAAAAACAGGGACGCTCATCTTCGGTCCTTGACTACAATAGTCCAGGTTTTTAATCCAAGCAACACTTAATAGTTTGATTTAAAATGTACGCTGCTTAAATAGTGCATATGAAACACTTAAATCTCCTAATTCATACTAAAGTCTAGTCCACGTGAGAGTTCTATAGGCAATACAAACCAGTGGATGTTAATATAAACAATTATTTGCTGAAACCTGGATGGTTGGAGATTCCACAGGAGATTCCAGTTCATAAGAAAAAAGAAAACAATACAACAATGTTTATTTTGCATGTCACCTTGTCATAGTGATTGATCAGCCGTTTGAAAAAACACTTTATAGTACATGAGGGGTAGCTGTTTTAGTCTGTATCCACAAAAACAACTAGGAGTCCGATGGCACCTTAAAGACTAGCAGATTTATTTGGGCATAAGCTTTTGTGGGTAAAACCCCACTTTGCCCAAATAAATCTGTTAGTCTTTAAGGTGCCACCGCACTCCACTCTGTAGTACAAATATTACCAATATTTGGTTTGTATATTATTTATTTACATTTACAGCAAACTAAAGTAATCAGATTCAAAAATAAATAAATAAAGTTAAAACAAACAATACATTCAATGAATGTAAAAAAAGTAATTGAATTTAACTGAATTAATTTGAAGATAAACCATAGATAAAAAATTTAGATTCCACATTTCATTTAATATCTAATTTAGTTTCACATTTTATTCATGTGCTTTATTATATTGCCATGCAGCCCCCTTTGCTTTTCTTTATAATTTCTTTTGGTGGCTCTAACTGGAAACATAGCTCAGGATTTGCCAGCTTCACTTGGGGAAAAAAAACAGGGGACAGTGTCCCATCTAGTCCAAGGTTTGCTCTGAATGGTGTCTTAATTTTTTTTTTTAATAAGACTGAACACTCCTCTCCTGCATTTGAGGGGGGTAAAACTAAGATAAGCCTGGCAACCTTGCACTGTAATGGGAATTTGAGAAAACCACTAGGGCTTTTGACACTGCTAAGATATACCCACAGTGTCCATCCTGTACTGCACATTGTATTGTTATCTGTGTCAGTTTGTAGTGCTGCCTCCTCCCATACACACTGAGGAATATCTGATTTCTGCATCAACTGGTAATCAACAAACTCCTCTTACAGCTTCTCTATCTCAGGTAACCTGCTCTTAAAAACCTACAATGACAGAGATTCCATAACCTCCCTAGGCAATTTATTCCAGTGCTTAACTACCTGGACAGCTAGGAAGTTTTTCCTGATGTCCAACCTAAACACCCTTTGCCAAAATTTAAGCACATTGTTTTTTGTCCTATCCTCAGAGGTTAACGAAAATCATTTTTCTCCCATCTTCTTGTAACAACATTTTATATACTGGAAAACTGTTATGTCCCCACTCAATCTTCTCTTCTCCAGACTAAACAGACCCATTTATTTCAATCTTTCCCCATATAAGCTTTCTAGACTTATAATCTTTTTTGTTGTTCTCCTCTGGACTTTCTCCAATTTGTTCACATCTTTCCTCAAATCTGGCACCCAGACCTGGACACAATACTCTAGTTGCAGCCATATCAGTGCAGAGTAGAGCAGGAGAATTACTTCTCGCATCTTGCTTACAACACTCCTGTTAATACATCCCAGAATGATGTTCGCTGTTCGTTTGTTTTTGGGGGGGGGGGAAAACAGTGTTACACTGTTGACTCATATTTAACTTGTGATCCACTATGACCCCCAGATCCCTTTCTGCAGTACTCCTTCCTAGGCAGTCATTTCCCATTTTGTACGTGTGCAACTGATTGTTCCTTCTTAAGTGGTGTACTTTGTATTTGTATTTTAATGCTATCCTCCAAAGCACTTGCAATTTCTCCCAGTTTGGTATTGTCCGCAAATTTTATAAGTGTACGCTCTATACCATTATCTAAATCATTGATAAAGATATTGAACAGAACCAGGCCCAGGACTGATCTCTGCAGGAACCCACTTGATATGCCCTTCCAACTTGACTCTGAACCATTGATAACTACTCTCTGGGAGCAGTTTTCCAACCAGTTATGCACTCACCTTATAATAGCTCCATCTAGGTTATATTTCCCTAGTTTGTTTATGAAAAGGTCATGTGAGACAGCATCAAAAGCCTTACTAAAAATCAAGATACCACATCTACCACTTCCCTCCTATCCACAATGCTTGTTACCTTGTCAAAGAAAGCTATTAGGTTGGTTTGACACAATTTGTTCTTGATAAGTAACAGTCATAGATTTATCACCTTCTAGGTCTTTGCAAATTGATTGCGTAATTATTTGCTCCATTATCTTTCTGGGTAAGAGATGTTAAGCTGACTGGTCTGTACTTTCCTGGGTTGTCCTTATTCCCCTTTTGATAGATGGGCAAATATAGGGCCCTTTTCCAGTCCTCTGGAATCGTTCCTGTCTTCCATGACTTTTTGAAGATAATCACTCAGATATCTCCTCAGCCAGCTCCCTGAGTAGTCTAGGATATATTCATGCCACATTAAATATTTGCACATTTAAAAAATAAGGAAATCCAAAAATCATTGCTATACCTATACAAACTAATACTTACTCCTGAGGGAATTCTGCACCAAAAAATTAAAAATTAAGTGCCAAAAAAATTTGCACACAATATTTTAAAATTCTGCACATTTTATTTGTCAAATAAATTTGGAGGCTCCAGCATGGCAGCGGGGAACACAGGCCACTGGCTGCACAGAGGTGGGAGATCACCCTGCAACTCCTCTCCCACCCATGACACAGGTAGCTTTTCTGCATGATATTACCGATCACTTGAATTCCCTCAACTTGCAGCTCCAAGGCGGTCTAAGCAGTGTTGTGAATCTGTTTGAAGAAGTGTGTGTCTTTCAGAGGAATTTTGAACTCTTTCAGACAGACATAACAGGAAAGATGTTGCAGTTTCCCACATTGCATGTTGTTGCTACAAATGAAACCAATGAAAACGATGCAAGAATTCCTAAACAATTAGACTGAAAGTTTTAAAATGTGATTTGAGAATTTCAAAATTCCAAAGGATTTGCTTTTATTTGTTTGTGATCCATTTGTTGTCTCTGCCAATGGGCCTTGCCCTTCTGAAGCAAAGAACATTCTTGATTCAACTGATGAAGGTGCCTTTCAATTAGAAATTTTAAGGCTCCAGAGCTCAGATGTCTTGAAGACAAAATTGAGAGAAGTAGGACTTTGTGATTTCTGGACTCAATATGCTGACCAGTTTCAGAATAGCCAGAATCTAGCTCTCTATCTTTTAACAATGTTCAGATAAACATACCTCTGCAAATCTGAGTTTTCTACCATAAACATTAAAAAATCAACACTGCAGTTACCTGGCAGATTAGCATCTTCACCAGTGGATGCCCCTTGCCCTGGACTCCAACAAACCCCTCTTCACAAAGTTTGCCAGAGATCATCGATACCACTTCTCCAATTAGAGATTGCCACAAACATGGGTAATAATTTTGATCTATAATCTTTGTTAAAATATAGGAACACTAATACTTATGTTGCAGTCAAGGTCTTTTGTTCCAAATGCTCTTCCCCTTTCTCACCTGCCAAAACCTCCAGCTTTCCCTAGAGAGTTTCTAAAATTTAGTTATGCATTCTCAATGTAAATGAAGGGACAATAAATTGAATTCAATGTCAAAAATAGATAAAAAAGAATAATATGCTACATGATCAATTATTAATTTTCATAGTCACTTACCTAAACTTCAGTAATTTTTACCCTAATATATTGGAGTAATCCATGCAGTCCCACCTCTCCCCTAGCCATGTGAGCTTGGGGACTTTGCTACAGAAGTCAGCTCCAACTTGCTGTAGAGTATGGTAATAAGCCAGCAGTGCTCATTAATGAGCCAGTATGCCCACTACAGTATTGTTTATAGCTAGGGAGATAGAGATATGGTTTGCACTTGAAAGGCGAAAAACAGAGTACCTCTGAATCCACTCCCTAGCCCTACCTATCCAGTGAAGGAGATCTGGAGACGTATGCTATTGGATCACTGGTATCTAGACAACATGAAGGTGAAAAAGTTGGTGGATAATATACAGTGGTACTCCCACAGTTTCTACCAATGGTAGAGCTACACCAGAGTTTGCAATAGTAGGGGATCTTAAGAAAAAGTTTTGTGTAGGCCCAGCCTAAAACCTAGCAGAGGATCATTGAATGGCTGCTTTTCCTTTCAAGTAGCTGATTCAATCCCCCAGATTACAAATATGTATTAGCATTCATTCCTCTGAAGAATTAGCAGTAACACCAAACAATTTCCTCCGTTCCGTTCAACCCCCATTCCACCGCAGACCATGCCCCCACTCCACCCCTTCCCCGTCTCTTCCTGCCCTCAATCTTTCCCCTCCCCTCAGCACCTCCTGCACACCACTGAACAGCTGATCCATGGCACATGGGAGACAGAGGGGGAGGAGCTGATTGGCAAGGCCACTGGAGGGGGTGCTGATCCAAAGAGCGGCTGAGCACCTACTATTGTTTTTTTCCCCTGTGGGTGCTTCAAACCCGGAGCACCCATGGAGTCGCCATCTATGACAACAAGTACAGGGTTTTTTTTAAGAGGAATATAATATTATACTGGAGCACATGAACTAGAAGTTACAGGATGTCTTATTTGCATAGAAGTCATAATAAATTTCACAGGTCAAAAATTTGAAAACTTCAGTTTTATGTTTTTAAAGGTGTTACTAACAAATATTTAAAAGTAAAATTAAGTCAGTCTGTCTCCTTTTAAAAAAGTTATTCACAGACATAATGTAGATGTTTGTATATTGATTAATATACAAACACCTGATCTAACTCCATTAAAATCAATTGAAAGAAGCCAATTTATTTCAACGGGTTTTGGATCAGGTGTTAAATGCCTAAGTGATGTGCATTAACTAAAATGTGTAATATTTGGAATAACTAGTTTAACAAATTGTCAGTAAATTGTTTCCATGTCTTTTGTGTTGTAGTTGTCTAACAGTAAACTGGGATTTTGAAAGTTAAGAAAAAGGCCTTGGATAGAATCCTGACTTGTTTATATAGAAGATAAGGAGAACCAACTTCTTCATGTACTTTTTCTATTGCCCAAAAGGGAACAAAAAATCCTAGCTATCATGTCTAACATGAAGTAACCTTGCAGGCTTATCTAAGAATGTTATGTATTTCCTTAACCTTTTCAGTCATAAAATAGTTATAAATATACCAGATATTATAAAGGGACACTGACAACTTAAGTTTGGCTCAAAATTTAGCTTTGTTTAAAAAAAAAATTACAAGAGCCTAGGAGTAGTAATGTTTCCATTATTTTTTCCTGAACTACACTGAAGTTAGTTTTTAAACAAACATTTCTTGCAGTGTTTTTACAGCCTAAGTATGTGGTGTAAAGAGAAATTGACCATAAAAGAGTAGAATTGACCTTATTGATTTTCTTTGTCTAAGTTGTGCTACAAAAAGAAAACAAGCAGCAAATTTAGGGCCAGAGTCTGACACCATTTATTCCTATTGAAATCAGTGTGAATACTCATGGAGTATGGTCCTGATCAATACAAGGAAGGGTGGCAGAGTAAGAAATTAGTTGGGTTTCCTAAGTTACTTTAATAACCAAAGTATTAATGCTACAGGCAAGGATATTTGTTTGTTCATATAGGATTTTAAGTTGACTGATCATTTAACTTCAAGTCTTAATACCATCTGCTATTTTTCCTATTATGCTATAATATATTAAACAACTTTGAAACAGAATAGGATGTATATTGAGCATTATTGTTGGCAGCTAACTGGAAAAAGAGGTTCTAATCTGTACTATAATGGCACCAGTTTTGCTTTTGATATTTAAGGGTCACCATCAACTTGGTTACTCTTATTTTTGTCTGGAAAAAATTTACCTCCTATTGTTAGTAATAGGAGGTAAGATTACTATGAACTTGTCTATGCTAGAGACATTTACCATGCTAGGACATATTTCCCTTCCCCCGCCCCCTCTTAATTGCTTGTTCCCCTTCACAGCCACACACAGAAGTCCTCCAATCGGTTACCAACCATGCTGGGACATTAGATAATAAGTGGTACGTAGCACCAAAAAAAATTGGTGGCTATGTGGAGGATAAACACAATATACAGGAGTTAAGGAATGACTAATTCACAATGATTTTTCCCTCAGCTGTTTGTGTGAACACATTTCATTGGCACAAATGGTGGGCTGTCAGCTCTGACAGCTGTAATTTCTCAGAACTGACAGACCCATCAGTCAGTGAGCCTCTTTTAGTTCACTAGCTGAGAATTCCCTCTCTACCCTTCTGACTATGTCCCCTAGGCCTTTGTCCCTTCTGTTCCTCCCACGAGATTGCCTTTACTTTGTCACGTGTCTTACGCTGCAAACAGCAATCCAGCAGCCAGCTCAGGGAGTTTGAAAAGAGTAGGTGGCAGGGGCATTGATGAAGGCCTAAAAATTGGAGCCAGGCATTTTTAAGGGCAGCACTTTGTGTCTAGTTAGTTTCAATCTTTTCCTTGTACTGAATGTCATTTTCCCCTGTTCTTGCTAACCTTTTACAGGACAGCTGGAGGAAAAGCTTCTTTTAAAAAATATATATATATGAAGTGTGGTCCTAAGGTCGCAACAATAGGTAGGCAGCGTTCTTTTAATTAAAAGCTACAGGGGAGCCCATTGTCTATCTTGAGGCCTGCACCTTGAGTTACTAAAAATTGCTTAGAGTCAGCTCCAATTATGGGACTAGCTTTTAATCAAACCCTATCCATGGTTCTAAAGTGTCTCTCTCACTTGTCTCACAGCTGAAGTAAAGTAAGTGTTGTGTTTGTGAAACAACTGACAGTTCTGCTGACTTTACGGTCCAGAGAGCTGCCAATATTCAGTTTCCGAACCAATTGCTTGAGCAAATTAAGCTCTATCTGTAACTGCGTCTACAGTAGGGCTTTTGCCCATGCACAAAGGCTGTGAAAAACAAAAGAAATCATCCCCCTAACAGACATTACTATGCTGGCAGAAATTTCTAGAGCAAACCTGGCCTTAATCACTTTAAAATTCAAGTGCATCACTCCTTTTGTGAGCATTCCTCATGTTTCTGTGTCCTCTAAATAAGGATGGAATTCAATATTTTGTATAACCTTGACCTGGAGAATTCTGGAGTATTAGTGTCTCATCCTTGAGTTTGTCATTAATTATATTGTCTAATTTGCTGCATATTCAGTGTTTAGCTATTCTTATCCTATTGACAATAGCAATTTTTAATCCTTTAACATTCATTTGTAAATAGAATTTGCCTTATTTGAATACCAAAAATGTTCAATGAGAAACTGACACAGAAATTGCCTTATAGAGGGGGGAAGGAATAAAAATCTGAGTATTAGACATGTATTCAGACTCCCTTTCTGTACGATGGATACCTATTTCACATTTATGAGAGGCTTTCAAAGTAATGAGTGTCTGAAGTTAGGCTGCTAGGTTTGATTTTGGGTATCTAAGCAGACCCAATTTTCAAGAACGCCGAACACCCAAAAGCTCCCAGTTAGATGTGTCAAAAGTGGCTTTAATACCCTGATCCAAAGCCCAGACACCCC